CTCCAAATTCGCTCCTTTTTGCATCTTTTTGCTACATTGACCCTAATTCATCATTCCTGCAACAAAACATCAAAAATATCTTTCTTTAAAGTGCAATATCATTAAAAATAATATAAAAGAGGTATGAAAATCTTAACATATTTTCCTTTGGTCAGATTCCAACAAAAATTTAAGAATTTATAATTATTTTAGACAAGTTGTTCTTCCGTAGAACAATTTTAAAGAAAAATAGTTATCCCCTGTAGTAAATGAATGAGCCTTAAAACTAATATGTTTTAAGAACATCTATTTTACAGCTTACTGAAACCATAAGCACAAAAATACTTCCTTCTCTTAGTGCTTCTGATGATAAAAATGAGCCCTAAAACTATAAATCTCCAGGTGTTTAATGTTGATCTTAGAAAACCAAGCTGAGAATCTTCCCTGAAGAAAGCCAGACCACAAAAATTATTGTTAAAATAAGAACTAATAGATTCACCCAAATCCTTCCACAACAAAGAACGAAAAAAAAACCTCTTTTGGAGCACCTTTTTCACGGGAAGCTACAAACAAGGAGCGACAGAGAAGCGAGGAGTAAAAGGGTTACCGGTGAGAATGATTGCTGAAGATGGAGGGAGACACGAATCAAGCGAAGAGACGGACTGTTGTGAAGGCGTGCGGGATCGAACGAGCTGACTGTTGCAACGTCGTGCGGGATCGAGGGGCGCTCGTTACGAAAGACGGAGGGCAGAGGAGCCTTCGTTGCGAAAGACGGAGGGTAATAGTCGTCTTTCGACAGTATTAAACGCGGATCGCCTACCCGCGATCCGTGTCTAATACAAATATCATAACGGAGTTCTGTAAAAAGTGAAAGAAATGTGATTTCCAAACGGGTGATAGCGTTTTGAAAACGCCACCGCTGCAAATAAGCTCTCCCAAACACACCCTAAGTTGAATTAATCATAAGTTGAATTAATCTTGATAGATTTGTGAACTGAAGTCATTTCTCCAGAGTTGCCTAAATTTCAATGGAGGTTTAAAGATGAGGTAGCACATAGGGCTAGATAGGGGAGAATAGCCATAAATATCGTAGAATACAAGGCTGCTGAGAGATTTTGGTCCAAACAGATCCAAGTGGTACATTGAGGATTGAGAACAACCGAAGCATCACTGTGAGGAAGAACATATGGAGGACAACTATGGCTTCCACAAGGAACCCAAAAATTCATTAGCTACAAATATCTTGAGAATCTGAGCACGTCGTATATGTTAATTTTCATTTATCAGCTAATATCAGTTAGTTGCTTGATACTAGATATTAAGAATTTCTGGGAAGAATGAGCATTTGTATTGGGCACCACATTGGAAAAATTATTGCATACATACACCGCATGCAGAGACGCATGCGGTGTTCGATCCTTACCGTAGATCACGGTGATCTACGGTCAGAATGCAATCAAAATTTTTTTGAAAAAAAAAAAATTTAAAATGGAACCCACCAATATACATCCTGACCGTAGATCACGTGATCTACTGTCAGGATCGGACACCGCATGCATCTCTACATGCGGTGTATGTCTGCAATAATTTTTCACCACATTGAGGGAGGTAGGAAGGCCAAATGTTCTTGATTCTTCCATCGAAAGGAGGATTATAAGCACAATAAAAAGAATAGAATCGATGACAACATTCAATCCCAAAAACTGAGAGATAAAACAACGTAAAAGAAGAGAAAAAAATGGAGTAAATGTTAACAGGTTGGATCGATGTCACATGATGCTTGTGATGGGAACCGTGTCCTTGCCGATGAGTAAGTAATTCTAGTCACTTGTCAAACTCATATTATTATCTAGTCATAATTGAATAATAGGAGAAAAATAATAAATATTATTTATGATTATAGCCATTAATAGGTTTTATTTTAAGTTACATAGCTATCAATTTATTTATATTTAATTTAATTTATATATTATAAGCTTATAACATGAGTATTTTATAATATGAATAACGTTTATTTTAACGTTATTAAGTTATAATATATAACATTTTCACATTAGAACATTAAAATACGATTTTACTAATCATGCTTTGTAACACCATCATGTCATAGTGTATTGCACGGCGGAGGTCTTTCCGAGCCATCATCTAGACGTGCAAGTCTCGCACGTCCCGACGACAGTCCTAATACCATCAAGTTTGGCATGCATTGCACCTTAAGTAGCACAAGGGATAATTACATATACACCACTCAAAAAGTTATTATTCACAAAGCTAGCACTCAAATAAAATAATCTATATTTAAAATGTCACTGCATCAAATAAGCTGCTACCCAAACAGACCCTTAAAAAAGGTCCTCTTTTTCAACAAATAAACCCCTTATCCTTCCCACTGTCGCCGGCCATCATCCATAGAGATACAATTCTGCAGCTCCGGCAAGAGTTCGCCGGATTCCTCCGCATCGAAGCTCGCGTGAACTCCATAAAGCAAATAGAAAACCACAGCAAAACCCGTGAACACAGCGAACCGAACATACGACTGCCAGTCCAGCAAGCCCAGCAGGAACACGTTCAGAAAAATGGAGATCGCCGGCACCACCGGCATCAGAGGCAGCCCCCACAGCTCCGGCTTCCTCACCTGCGGTACCCACCAGCTGAAAGCGCAAAGCGCCGCGGCGGCGGACGCGGCGCCGCCGCAGAGAACCGCCGTCCTGAAATCTCCGCCTCCGGCCGAAAGGAACCGCCAGGCGACGGTGAACCCGACTGCGGAGAGGGAGAAGAAGAGGAGGAAGACGACGGTGGGCCAGGGATTGGTGGACCCCACCGACACGTAACGCCGGTGAATGACGGCGTTAGCGACCATGTAGAAAACGAACAGGGTGCCGATGGTAACCAGGTTGAGAAGAACGTTGAGGTCCGTGAAGAGCGCAATGGTCGCCGTTAACCCGCCTGAGAAGGTTAATTAACGTGGAGGACCCTGGAGATTTGAATTATTGCAAAACAAGGAGGGTTATTTAGATTTTTACCGAGGAAGAGGGAGGCGTTGACGGGGGTGGAGGTGGCGGCGTGGACTTTGGCGAGCCGGGCTGGGATAATGTGGGCCCGAGCGATGACGCAGAGGTAACGGGCCTGGCCCAACATCGAGACGAGGATGGATGTTAATATGCCGAAACTGGCCCCCACGCCGATCACGTTCGAGACCCATCCCCAGCCGTCCGATCCCTTGAATGCGGACGAGAATGGAGATTCGCCGTCGATCTGCGCTGTCCAATAAGTATTAGTTATACATATTTTTTTAAGAGGAAATTGGGCTAAAGAGTTTGTAATTGGTAGCATAATCACATTTTTAATACATACATAGTATACAAAATTTAAATTTATATAATACCACTCTTTTTAACATTTGCAAAAGTGATAAACAACATTGCATGGATAGATTTATAAACACTAGTGTCATAAATATAAATGACAAATTTTAAGTGTTAGATAAACTAGATACATAAGAATGTTGGGTATGCATTTAAAGATCCAAAAATTGTAACTTTTTAATGTACTAAAATTTGTTTTGGGTCCTTTACAAATGTTGGATTCTAACTTGTACTTTTGCTAGCATGCCCTGAGAGTCGAAATTGAATGAGGAGAGAGAGAGAGAGAGAGAGAGAGAGAGAGAGAGAGAGAGAGAGAAAGAAAACCCACGAAAATTTTCTCCTCTGAAAGAGAAGAGATAGACTTTCTTCATTCATCTTCGGACCTCTATTGAAAGAGATTTAATTTGTACAATTAAAGGAGGTGATAATCGTTATGATAAAAGGCTCCCAAATAGAATCAATGCGTATAATTTGAATTAATGGCTTCATGATGTTGACAAAATTAATGATTTACAATGATTTATGAGCTTGAATGCTGCCGGTCGGCGTGCGACCATTTGTGTCAGTCTGCCGACCGGAATCTGTCTCTACCAAGAAAGGGTATTCGGTTGGTGCAAATAAGGTTGATCGTCTTGACAAGAGGTCTGGTTGGATGGTTTTTTGGTTTTGTGGGACCTATGGCTACGGTCGGGCGAGCCATGTCTTCCTGTTTGGCTAAAGTCTTAAGGGGCCTGTGTCTTGTTTGACTAGTCAAGCTATTGCCTCGGCCAAATCTTCCCACTTGAAAGTTCTTGAGAGAATCTTGTCGCTGCATGTGCGGAGTATCTGACGAGACTTGTTGTTGGGACGAGTCACACCTTACCATTAACAAATCTTACTGCTATTGATTAGGTGACCATCTCCAGAGCTTTGACCTATTACGGAGTTAGAGACAGATTCTCATTCTTGACGTTCAATTGTCAGTCAATTGCTTACTCTGGGGTACAATCTCATACTGAATTATTTGAGTGTTTCTAAGGACTCTTTCCGATCTTCAATGTGTTGTTCGGATGTCTTACTCTTAACTAGAACATCTTCAACATACACCTCAAAATTATTTTCTTTTTTATTACAAAAAATTTATTCATGAGGCGCTGATAGTAAGCTCCGACATTTTTAAGCCCGAAGAACATTACATTAAAACAAAATATGTCTTATGTATTAATAAATGTCGTTTTTTCCACTTCGGCCAGTGTATTTTTATTTGGTGGTAGTTGGAGTAAGCGTCAACGAAACTCATTACCGAGTATTTGACCGCTGCATCTACCAAGGTGTTAATCTTTATAAAGGGGTAGGTATCCTTCGTGTAGGTAGTGTTAAGGTTGGTGAAGTTGATGCACATCCGACAATTGTCAATGGCTTTCTTTTCTATCATGATGTTTGAGAGTTAAGTTGGGTATTGGACTTCGCGAATGTAGTCGGAGTCTAGTAACTTCTTAACCTCTGTCGCTATCCATTCGACCGGAGTTATGACAATTGACCAAATATTATGCTGGACTGACTGAGAGTGGGGGCTGATGTTTAGCTGGTGGCACACTACGTTGATTGAAAAGCCTAACATCTCTACTGTAGTCCAAGCGATCACTTCTCCGTGCTTCCAAAGTGTCTGCATCAGCTGGTCCCTGAGTCAATCATCGAAAAGTTTGCTTATTAGGAAGATATTACTGGGTTCTTTTTCGGATAGAGGTACTTGGAGGACGACCTCAGTGGTCTTGAGACGCCCCTCAATTTGGATCTTGATATATAGTGGTTCATGGTCAAAGTTCGAGACCTCTGACAAATAGCAGCTTCTAGATTGCTCTAAGTTCCACTGGAGCGTGATCACCTCCCCGTTGCCCGAAAACTTTATGGTCATATGGTAGGTGGAAATCACCACTCGGTAGCAGTTCAAGAGTGGTTGCTCAAAGATAGCGTTGAGTTCAATGGAGATTCCACGATGAGAAACTCCTCAGTGATGTTTTATTGATTCCCATGTTTTCCCCAAGAAATGGCTAGGGCGATAAGGCCTAGTGCCTCCTTCCTTTCCCTGGAGAATCCAAACAACGAATCGACCGACGCTATCAAGCAATCAGTCTTCAGGCAGATTTTATTGAACACCGTTTTGAACATGATATTGACCAAACTCCCTATATCAACAAGAATACTATCCACCTTGTAGTTTTTGATTAGTGTCGTTATGAATATTACTTTATTGTAGGGGTTCCTCTTCAGTGACAGATCTGCATCTGTAAAGATAATTGGTAATGATTACGTGAATACGAAACGACATAGTATACCACTTTCGAAAGTTGTCATTTCAAGTTGGAGGATCGGGGTCCTCCCCCGAGGATTGTTGGGATTTTCCTTGCTTCATGGACCTCATTCACCCGAACAGGCCCGTTTGCGAGTTCTCCTGCTGCCTGCTGTTGCGTGGGCACACCGACTGTGACAAACTCTTTGAGCTTTCAGATGCAGATGAGCTCCTCTATCAGATTTCAGAGGTGACAACATTCCTCCGCGCCGTGACCATAGTCATGATGGTACTGACAGTATCTTTTTGGATCTTGTAAGGTCGGGGCTACCTTCAGTATTGGGGTGGGTTTGAAGTAATCCTTGTTTTGGATGGCTTCGACTATTTCAGCCATTGACATGTTGAGATATATCAAACCTTGCATTTCCCTATAAACATGTGGTCGCTCATAATATTGGTCTGATCATTAGTTAGGGCACCGTTTTTGGTCATGATACCCTCGACCATTCCCCCGCTGATCCCGAGACCGAGAGTCCTTGTTGTTGTGGTGACCGTTGGAGGACTGATTGTCCTTAGCCTTCCGCGATTTGCCATGTTCTTTCTGCCGCTGAGGGATGATCGAGCGACTTTGGCTTACCCTTCAAAGAGCCTTGAAGGTCTTTTTTGGTGAGTGTTGGCTCGCTTGCGATCTCCAGTACATCTGCGAAATTAGTGGGCTTAAATAAATTTAGGTCACACCTGAACCCTTTGCTTCGGACTCCTCGTTTCAAAGTTGTTTCGACTATATCAGGCTTTAGGTTTCTAACTTATAACATTTCGTTCTGAAAATGGGTGATGTAGATCCATAAGCTCTTGTTTTGTCCTTATTTGAGGTCGAACAGGGTGTTTGGGTCCTTCCTCGATTTTTGAACGTTTGAGAAGTACGAGTCGAAGAGTCTTTTAAATTCGTAGTAACTTGGGATGGTTTCGGTCAACAGACTGTTGAGCTATCGAAGCGCCGACTCCTTCAGGATTGTTAAAAAAAGTCGACACTTTATGGGGTCGTCAATTTGGAGCAGACCGGAGATGACTCGAACGACGCTACATGATCGGTCGGATTGGTCTTCCTTTTAGAAGAATCTAGGTGAGGGAAATTTAGAGTGGATGGGGGTATCGCCTCTTTGATTATGCAAGTAAAAAGGCCCTCCTAGAAGCGGTCAGACATGACCCACATCCCCTCTTCTCCATTCAAGTTTGGATGTGATTGTTTCAGTGTGTTGGGACTCGCCTTGTCCCTCTGCTCGCTTGTTGTTGATTTAGTCGTCTGGAGCTGATAAGTTTTCTGTTGGGGCCCTTTGGGACGAACCTCTTGAGGTTCTGCTTCTAGGCGAGGCGTCTAGTCATTCCTCTGGGTGATTGCTGCTCGGAGGACTTCGAATTGCTCCATCATGAGGGTCATTTTTCGTTTGTAGAGCCTAGACCTGTGCGCGGACGTTCGATTGCATAGCCTCTCTATTGGGCTCCATGCATACTATTTCTCTTTAGAAAGTGCCGCCTTTTTAGTCCTTTCTGTTTCTCGTCTGTGTCATGCCCCATGCTGACCGCACTACCTTTCAGGATGTTGGATTCTAACTTGTCATTTTTGGGAGCTTGCCACGAGAGTCAGAATTGAAGGTGCTGAGAGAGAGATAGAGAGAGAGAGAGTAAGAACAAAAAAAAAAAAAAAAATTCCCCACTCGGAAAGAGAGGAGATAGTTTCTCTTTATTCCTCTTGGGAACACCTTTTTAAAGATCTAATTAGTATAACTAAGAGAGGCGAGAACCGTTACGACAATCAGTCTTAAATAGAATCAATGTGTATAATTTGAATTAATGATTGTCATAATGTTGACAAAAATAACAATTAATAATGACTTATAAGCTTGAATGATGTCGGCCGACGGACGATCGATTGTGTCGGTCGGCTGACCAGAATTTGTCTTTGTCAATAGGGGTAATTGATTGATGTAAACAAGGTCAACCATCTTGACACTATGTATGACAATTTGGTTTTGCGGGACCAGTACTTTCGGCGGGCGGTCGACTGATGTGTCGACTCGTTTCATTGGGCGAGTCATAGCTTACTTGCTCTTTGACTCAATTCTTACAGGCCTTGTGTCTCATTTGTCGCATCTCTGTTGCCCAGTAGAATCTTCCCTCTTGTAAGGTCTTGACCGAATCTTGTCATTGCTTGTACGGAGTAATATTGAAGAGACTCGCTGCTGGGACAATTTACGTCTTACCTTTGGCGGATCTTAACATTACTGAGTATATGACTATCTCCAAAGTTTTGACATATTCCTTCCTCATTTAGAGACGTGAATTCTCATGTGCTTACTCTGGAGCGAAACTTCCTATTCTTAATCGTTCGTTATCTTTGAGATTCGTTCCAGTAATTCTAATATATACAACAAACATACCACATTATTCATATGATTTATATATTCAACACCTAAAATTTCATATTTAATAGCACTCAAATATTTAACATCAAATTAAAATTATTATCAATACTAATCTTTCTAAAGTGAATATGTCACGAAAATTAAATAAATTAAAACAATATATTCTGACAATTACATTTCTAATATTATATATTTATTTTAAAACAAAATAATTTTTAAACTCTGAAATGAAAAAAGAAAAAGACACGGACCCCACCACGTATCTGCCAATGATTTGACCTCACCGACCCATAAAGAGCCCATCCACAAGACAAATGGGATTCAGTAGGTGTTAATATGCCACGAAAATAAATAAATTAGGATTAAAAAATTAGTTGAATATAATTTGGATTTAAAAAAATATTTATAATAATCAAAGTATTTGAATAGCCTAGATGATGACCAGAAGATCAAGATGTCATATCGCCCTAGTGCACACCGCATGGTAAAGAATCGTCCGACAGATCACGCCGACAGTCCCGACTGATCGAAACGCAGGCGAGAATTCTTGATCGCAGCTAATCGATCCAGCCGCCTTTACCATGACAGACGAGATCAATATTTGGCCAGACGTCTCGACCGACCCATTAATGGCTCGGTCGCCACTCAATCAGTCACCTCAGTAGGCCCAATTCGAGCAAGTAGACTGACCAAGTTACTATTATATTAAAATTTAAATTATAATACCCATATAATATAAAATACATATAATTGCTCCCTCATGTTTCTAATTATACAAATATGTCTCTATAAATAAGAAATAAAAAAAACACAAAAAAAAGAACTTATACTGATTCTCTATACAGAAAAGTCCTGGCTAGTTATACTCTCTTTTTCTCTTCATTCACTCAATCCTAAACTCTCGGGACGTGTTCACAAAAAAAAATCCCGATCAAACATTAAAAAATGAAAAAATCAATTAATTCTTACTATAAATTTATTCTTGGAATGAGACTTTAATGAAAAATGTACCACCTACCATAACGAGAGGATGCATAGCATTTATAAATGACCAATATAGGCCAAATATTCCTCAAAAAGGATATAGGCCAAACTAGATCCCACATGCTATGTGTCCCCTCACAACGACTTATCACATTTAGGGTCCGTGTGACGCAGCTTATAAGTGCGGGCGTCATTTTCAAAACGCCGCCGAATCGTTTGGTTCGCGCGTTTCGCCAGTTTATCCGAAATTGCGTTTGAGTTTTTACACTAAACGCAGGCAAAGCAGGTCGACCCCCGCGGACCGCGTTTCAGGATAAGCAGCTTATCCTGAAACGCAGAAACTGCCCCAAACAGACCCTTATTTATTTATTTTGCGTTTACCGTCCAATACTTATTAAAATTATTTAAATGAATTAAATTTAAAAAAAAAAATCTTATTTATTATATTAATCTCAGAAAAAAAAACTTTGAATGTAAGAGAAGGTAAAGTTGTAAATATCAAAGTTCCGGGTGGTATGTACGTAAATGCTCCATAAAAAAAAAATAAAAGCAGCAAAATAAAACAGAAGTTTCACGGGCAAAGCGGCGGACTCATCGTGTAGATAGCGAAAGAAACAGATTCAGATGGATAAGGAAGAAGACTCACCGCATCATAAGGCACGAGCAAGGTCATGGACGCTGCCATTAAACAATACAGAAGCGTGACGATCACCACCGAACCAGAGACACCCATCGGAATATCCCTCGCCGGGCTCTTCACCTCCTCCGCCATTGTCGACACCGCATCATACCCAATATAGCTCATATAAACCGCCGCCGCGCCGTTAAATACACCGCCGACGCCGTAAGGCATGAAACCTCCGGCGTGATTCTCCGGCGACGCCGGCAGCGTTAAGTTCTTCCACTCCCCTCTCCAGAACCCAATGACGATGATGAAGAGGATGAAGAACAGGTGTGTGGCCGTCAACACCAAGTTCAGCTTCGAACTGTCTTTTGTGCTAAATCCGACCATTTGTTTCAGAAAAAAAATGGCATTTTGAAGAAAGATTCGAGCTTTTTGTGATTTTTGCTGTCATTTTACCTGTAGCAGATGCAGAGGGTTAAAATGAGTATGAGGCCGACGGCGAGGGGGTCGAGGTTGTTGAAGCCATTGGGTAGGCCGGCGATGGTAATCCTCCATTTTTCCTCTGTTTCGACTCCAATGGCGGTTCCTAAGTAAGCCGTGAAGCTTCTCGCCACCGCTGCGTTTGAGAACACATACTCCATTACCAGATTCGCTCCTGTTAAAAATGCAGCAAATTCCCCTGCATTCATCCGCGCTGCATCACTTTAACTATCCATAATTGTTTTTTAATCTCATTTTCACCAATCAAAGTGTTTAATTTGACATACAGTTAAAAAAATGGGGAGAGGGGACCATTAGAACAAGCCAAGAAATGATCAAGATTTGATTTTTGAAAACAGAAAATGAGGCTACAGACGTGGAGAGCAAGAAATCTTCATTAATAAAAAAAATAAAATCGGAAATTTACATAACAATTCTTATGCATTTACACGTCTCACACCAAAACTTAGATTTTTACAAAGCGAGCGCCCTATCTAAAAATATGGATTTCACTGTTGCAGACTGTTGAAAGGATAAAATGGATGCTGGATTTATAAAGATGACAGTTTTGATGTGAGATAGCTAAATGCATAAGAACGAAGATTGCAGTGAAAAGAATGAATCAATATAACTCACCGAATGTGACCCTTAAATAGCTGAAAGCGCCACCGGCGACGGGCAACTCGACGGCGAACTCGGTGTAGCAGAAGGCGGAGAGAAGAGCACAGAGGCCGGCAATGGCGAAGGAGACGATGATTGCCGGACCGGATAGATCGCGGGCGGCTCGGCCGGTGGTTACGAAGACGCCGGCGCCGACCATCCCGCCGATACCAAGGCCGACGAGATCCGTCCAACGAAGCGTGCGAGCCATGTCCGGCCCCGAACGAGCTCGTACTCTGCTCATCTCTTCGCTGGTTGTCGTCACCGAGCCCGCGCGGCGACTGAATCGCCGGTGAGTTTCGGTTATAGCGCGGCCGTACGCCCGCAGGCTAGCAAAGGACGGCGTTGGAGATTTCCTCTTCGCCGCCGGCGAGGCAGAACTCTGCCGTCGATCCATAGGAAGGATTTCGTTGACGGTGTAGTGGGAATCAGGGTGTTTATGGAAGTGCGGAGAGGAAGGGAAAGGCGACGCCCAAATTGTAGGAAGGGATAAAAGTTCAGATCATTGGGGCTGTTTTTGGGGGTGAAGTTTTAAAAATGAGGATTTGATATTTATAATTAAGCTAATTCTGTCCTGTTTAATTCTGACTATTTGTGATGATTTGGTGGATTATGATTTTACCATAATTTTTTCCTTTTCCATTTTGAAATTGTTTGGGAGAGAGGGATGTTTTGGTTCTCTTCTTGCTTTGTGTTTTTGCTTGGATGTTAGATTGTTGAATAGAGGAATTGGTTTGGTGTTGATTTTAGTGGACTGATCTTTCGGATTGATTGTTGCTTGTATTTCTTATGGAGTTAGTTGTTTGAGTTGGAGTTCATCTATACTTGGCGGTTTTTGTTTCTGGAGGAGTGGTCTTTTTTTCTTTTTTTTCCTTTTCTATGGAAGATCTTGAGCTTTTGGATTCATTGCTCACTACTTTTTTACTTTGTGTTGATATTGTTTTGATTTAGGTTTATCTGCATTGTCATGTTAGCCTATGTTTTTTATGTTTTTTTTTTCTTTGATATAATTTTCTTATAGTCAGTTTTTTTTTGGGAAGATGAGGATTGCACTTAGTTTTACGCAAAGATAAATGAAAATACAAACAACTCAACATCACAAAAAAAAAGAAAAAAGAGACAAACTCACAGCTATAAACAAATTATACCAAGAAGGCACTTAGAAAACTAAGCAACCAAAGGACAAAAGCATAAATACCGACAGCGATTGAGAAAATAGGCTGAATGCCTTTTTTCCTTTTGATTTCATTCCAATAAATAATAGTCTGTGCATATATAACAAAGCAAGAAGAGAGCCAAATAATTCATTCCCCAAACAATTCCAAAATGGAGTGGAGAAAGTATAGTAAAACTATAATTCACCTAATTACCTGAACGAAGAGACATAAATAATCATGAGCACAGAACTTACCTACACACAAATATTAAAATTCTTTGAAGATACTAATGAATATAAAATATATTAAAAGGTACAGTTGAATTTTAATATAAAGTTGTAAATCTTCACAGCTCAAATAATCCCATACTTTCAAGGAAAAAACAAATATAAATTGGTTCTTATGAGTTCAAAAATAAAAAAAAAACAAAAAATCAACACTAGAAAAATCAACATTAAAAATAACAAAACAATAAACCAAGAAAACTCTAAAAAACCGTAAGATCAAGATAATAATATCTCATTAAATAATATTCAAAAATAGAAAAAAAATTATAAAGTTAAAATGCACAACCTGAATAAATTCAAACACACCAAATTTTAAAATAAAAATATACAAGAATTAAAAAAAAATCACTAAGTCCCATGTGAATTTTGTCTTATCCAACAAAGAATAGAAGACAAAAGAGAACCAGCCAAAGTAGACCAAAAAAGAATTCTCCAATCAAATCAAGTCAACATAATTAAAGATCATAAAGAGTTTTGAGATATGTAAGAATTTCATACTTTAAAATATTTCAAGTATGAAAAATAATTTGAAAAAAGTTACTAAGGAGCAATAAAAAACTCTCTTTGGGAATACATACCCTAATTAAGGAATGAGAAAAAGAACATTCAAAGATAAGATTAAAATGAGATTCTAAGTTATTAGAGCATAAAACACAATTAAGATTAACATGATTGCTTCAATTATGAAGTATATCATAGGTTTTATGACCAAAATGAAATATTTTCCACGTATGATGGGCATTTCTAATAGCATAACCATTAAACTAAATCCATTTATGACAATAAGAAAGTGGAAAAGACTCGTATAGAAAAAAAAAACTAAACTTATTGATGCATATAAATATTATAATCTTTCCAAACACAGAAATTCATTTAGTTATAAGGATATTATGGATAGCATTAATACAATGTAAATAAATAGTTTGACTACAATATCCATAATTTCTCTTTGTCACCATATCTTTAATTTCAAATTGCTCTTGATAAAAATATTCTTCATCCATTTCATCAATCCATCTAAAATAGTTATAGTCATGTTTTGAACGATTTTTTCGACATATGTAAAATATTCTTCCACGATTCACGTCTTTATAAGCGGTGAACGATACCCATTATAAATTACAATCACAATAAATTTTACAAAGTCTACTTACTGCCTTTGGAGTTTGAAGATTGACTCGAATTCATTGCTGTGACAAAAAGGGGATAAAGTTTTTGCGAGAAATTAAATGAACAATAACTCACAATTTTAAGTATTAGAAATACCGAACTCACCCTAAAAGGATTCATATACAATTGCAAATAAAGCAATTAGCACAAAGAAACTAAGCTTCACAAACCTATGATTACTTTAAATGCCAAAAAAGATACAACATATAAACAACATTTGTTATTCATAAACTCCTCCATAAACTAAGTCAAGCTATGATCCCTCGTGTGAGACGAACAAAAGTTATTTGGTATAATACTAGCGTGATGCTAATACTAGTTAAAAAAAAATAATCAAACATTAGAGTTTTTTCTAATCTTCTAAAAAGCATAAGCAAGTAGTAGATTATCATACCAAACATATCCTAGAGACACAACTAAATAACAAGATATTAGGTCAACCGTTTTCTAATTATGAACATTCTTAGCAAGTAAACATGTGAAAATATATGAAGAACCAAAAATAACATATTATATCAATTACTATCTAAATACCAGACGAAGCATACTCTAACCCGCTTGTAGTTATGCAAAATAGGCATAATGAGGTGCTAAATGATGAAAGAAATCCATATTTGGGAACATAATGCTAATCCACAATTGAGATATCATGGCATGTGCATACTTAATGAATCAAAAGCAAGTAATATTTTTAAAGCACGCAAAAACAATTCTAACCTACAATTCACACTCAAACATAAATATCAAGTTTAAGTGCCCATGAAACCTCTTGGAAAGCATAATATACATCATCCAATGAATTACATACTTTAACTCCTACTTTACCAAAAATTTCTAAGCAATCTCACAGAAGACGATATATACACGATGAATAAGTAAAAATAAATAAATAAATAAAAATTCAGAGCATCTGCAGCTAACCATTGTTACAATGTAGCTGAGATTCAAAGTAATAATATTTTGTATTCACAAAACAAGCAATATCAATTTATTTTCAACACACTAAGATACGTAAAACCATAAACTAGATTGGTAAGCAAATTTAATAATTGGGAAAGTCAGTTGAAAGAATATACAAAGTATAATCATCCTCTCAAGATGAATACATTGTAATTTTTAAAGCTATCATATATAATGATCAACTATTACACTTGGAATATGTGAAGGGTGAGCATGACAAAATCAATGAAGTATATACAGTGCAAAAGAACAATTAGATTACGAGAACAAAGATGATAATGAATATGATTATATATTGATGTATCATGACATTATAATATTTATAATTATATTATTTTTTTTGGGATTAAATCATTACTTTTATGTTGCATGATTGACTGAATATAATAATAAACTTAGAATTTCTGAAAAACTTATTTGGGTCCTCCACCCTACCTTCCATGACTTCATGTCTATTATCTCCACAAAATGTTCCATTTTCTATTAATTGAAAATAAAAAAAGTATTTATCTCATTTATTGTCCACCATCATACTTTACATGGCAAATAGAGTTTGATCGAGCAGAGTCAAGTTGCATATCCTTTGAATAGAACTTGGTTGTCATATATATATATATATATATATATATATATACACACACACACACACACATACATACATACATACACATATATAAGTTGTTCATGGACATGTCAATATTTGACTTATTTATTTTTTTAAATATTTGTATAAGATAATATTTTATGTATTACTTGAAATTTTTATTGTCTATTTTTTTTGGCTAAAACATATCAACTTATTAATAAATGGAAGATTTACATACATACCAATCTATTTATTTACATATCTAACTCTTAAACTTCAATTTCTATATAAATATATAAATAGGTAGGAATTGGCTGACATATATGTAAATGCCTCCTCAATAAATTTAAAACCCTTCTTTCCTCTGGGCTTATTTGTTAAGCCTATTTCATTGGCCCATTAAGCTAAGGCCTTCACCCACCATAACTGAAATTTTGGTCAGGTTGGTCAAATTAGTAATAGGCATGCATAAATAAAAAAATAATTTAGTAAATAATAATATTTAGAAAAAAATTTTGGATCAATATAACCTAAATTAAAATTACGGGATAATTACGTACATAACACTCGAAACATTGCTATTCATAAAATTTAGCCGTCATGTGTTATTTTTGAACTATCAAACTGATTAATTTACGCGTGTCATGATCAAATCATTGAGAATTTGATTAAAAAAAAAAAAAAAAACATGTGTTGGGGTTGTACCATGAACTTTGATATTTCATTGAGAAACTTGAAAAATGGCTGAAAGAAGTGCTAGATTTGTAAATATCAATGTTTCGGGTGCTATGCATGAAAACTGCCCTATAATTAGACAATGGTTAGCTTCAAAGCCATTAAATTTATTTTAGATAGCTTTATTACATGCATTCCACTCAATTCCTATGTCTTTGCATATATAACATCTGAACTTCAATTTTTGCAGGCATACAACCTTAATTACTTGTATATGATGTGAAATATTTGAGTGGTAAGAATCTAAGTAGTAAAGTTTAGAAGTTGGACATGCACATGCATATGAATCGAGTGGTGTGTAGGGTTGTAATTTGAGCGGAGTTGAGTTTCTTGTAAATTGGACTTGATTTGGGAATATTATAAGTTGTTCATGTTCTGCTTGAGCTTGTGGCAAACTTTCGTAAGTATGTTTAAGGTTTGTTTCTTTGCGATTTTAAATACCTGAACTTTATTTGTACTTGATTTAGTTATGTCAATTAAACGAGTTTTGAAACTGGATAATAAGCAAGCGAAAACTTTAGAATATCTGTGTTTTCATATAAAAATTTCAACCAACAATTTTATAAATAAATATAAACAAAATGAAATGGACTAAATTTTGAATTGATGTTCAGTTATTTCAAAAAATTAAATAAGAATGTTGAATCTGAGAATGTCCGTGAAGCACACCCAAAGATAGAGCGTCGAGGAGGAGAGGGAGGGAGAGAGCGAGAGGGAGGGGGAGAGAGAGAGAGAGAGAGG